CTCCCCCTGGAGGTGTTTAATGTTTCCGAAAGTGATATGATGGCTTTGCTTATGCTTCAAGGTGATCTGCACCCCATTTGTGCATTTGTATTTGCTATCTTCTTTTTAAAAAACGTGCTCCCCAAAGTCTTGCTGCACAAAAAATGAGGCTGCTTGCTTTGTTTGTTTATTTTGTGTGCAAAAAAGTGCAAATATTTTTTGCAAATGTATCCTTTATTGATTGTAAGTAACTTGAACTGGCTTTCTTCCTTAATTTTTCTACAGATTGTCTTTGGATTTGCATGCAGTTCCTGAACTCAGTGATTGCTTGAACAATCTCTGAATGTTCACACCTTTGCAGCTCTTGTTTTTATTTCTTTTTGCAGTGCATTTTGGTCTCAGGAATATGAGCCCATCATAATGAGCTGGTCTGTCTTCATCCAGCTCTTTAAGGCTTTCCTGGCTTTGCACTATCTTACTATATCCATTCCCTATTGATTTCTGGCCCAAACACTGAGATCCATCAACACGGCCATTGCTAGGAATGATTCCATCAGTTCTGTGTTAAGCTTAGCTCTGCTTCTCTGAGCAGACTGAAGATATTATCTGTAAATAGAAAAGCTTTCTCATTTCTTACTTTGACATACATAATCACTGAAAGCAACTTAATAGAAATGTCAGTTTGTCTCATGGATGTATAATTGCAGAGATCTAAACATATAGTGCTTTGCCTATGTTTGATGTTCTCATATCAGCCCCTTGGCAGACAAAAATTAGCATTGGTGTCAAAATTACAGCTCTTGTGCCATAGCCAGGTCCTCTTTCATCCTCTTAATTGACTATGGCTGCTTCATCCTACTTTCTGAAGAGTCAGTCTTTTAGCTAATGAAATCTTTAACTCATCTCTAGATTCCCATCCTTGACAATCTCAACTCAAGATTTAGTTTCGAAGAGCTGTCCCTCTGCAGGTGCTAACCTGACTGTTGTTGTGATTTAATGTCCAGATTCTCTTCTATATGGTATTTTGCTCTTTCCTGCTTCATTCCCTCAGAAATGCACAGAAGCAAATCCAGTATAGACCCATGTTACAGCATGTTTCTCAGTTCTCTGCAGACCTCATTTCCAAAGGAAAACAACTCTAAAGGAAGTCTGTGAGTCACAGAAAATGAAAAAATTGATAGCAAGAAGACATCAAAGGACAGCCCCTATCATTGGAAATATCCACCCATCCATCCATCTTATCTTTATGAAGAAAACAGTCTTTATCTCATCACCTTTCCAACCACATGTACCTTCTAAGATATGTTGTGGGAAGCGATCGTAACTACCTGTTCACAAATATGGTTGAGAAAGGGGCGAGCAGGGAAAGGAGGCACGTTGCTGGAAATAACCATTGAAACAACCTGTAGGAGAAGTAGCACAATTGTGGAAATCCCATCCCAGCAAAAATAAAGGGAGGACCCTTTCATTCTTTGTTTATCAAAGGTAAGAAACAAATGGAATGAAGGAAGAATAAGAAGTTAAAGCCTAGTAGCTCTTATTTGTATGGCTTCCATATCCCCAGGCTTGACCTGGCTTACACTTGTCTGCCAGTAGCACAGCTCATCTAATTTTAAAAGATAAGATGTGCTTGCAAGGATGGCTCTCTGCCTAAAGGACCTGCAGCCTCATTTCATTAAAAGTCAGCTATAAATCTTTACAAGATTTCCATTATTCTTGAGGCAGCCTGGTCTTTACGTGACTGACAAACTGAAAGCATGATTGATTTTGGGCAGCACCTATTACATCCGGATCAAATGATGCTGATTCATTGTCTCTGTAAATCAGGCTCTCGACAGCTCAGGTTCTGAAACCCAAATTTCTGAGCACTTGCTGCATCATAACCTTCAGTGACTCCTATCCAGAACAAGAGCAGCATGTGCCACTCTGGCTTAGCTTGGTGCATGTCTGTTGGCATGGTTGGAATGACATTTTATTTTGCTTCAGTGGATGTGTATTCAGTGCCTGTCCATTACAAAATTGCCTTTTTGCTGAACTGAGAGAAATGTAGCAATTTCTTGGAGTTATATCTAAATATGGGACAGATCACCAGCGTGTAGAAATTGAATTGCTGCCTGCTTTTTAATGAACATGACAGATTCTCTTTTAAGGGTAAATCAGTGGTATAGTATCCAGAATGCTAACACAGCATTATGTCTCAAATTCTCATCCAGCTACCTTGTATCTCTGAAGCCTTTTTAAATACCTTGGTCAAAGCCCAGCTTTCTATTTCATCAGCCAACATTTGGGGAAATTTTGGAATGGCAAATGATTCTTCACCAGACGTTGCTACATTGCGTAGTGAATAGCTCATAGAAATTACTCTGATGTTTTAAATGCTTGTTTTTCAACCTCATTCACCATGGAATGCCTTCATGGCCTTTGCCTGGTGTTTTTCTATGCCTTTGCCCAGGGAGGCAGGGTTTGGCATGGAGCTTGAACCAACATAAGGGGGAGGGGGGGAAAGGGGAGGGACTTCTTCCTTTGGAGTGGCTCAGTTAGAAGCAATGAAGAGCCCTGGCGTAGGGGAAGCCCTGGCGTAGGGGAAGCCCTGGCGTAGGGGAAGCCCTGGCTCTTTCCACAGTGGCTTGTTCCCCTTGTTCGTGATTTTTTAGTATGACCAGAAGCACTGGAAGTGAATTTGCTGGGCCTGGGTGGAGACCCTGCTTGCTGGAGAGTCTTCAATAGGTGTGGCTGGTCTGGAGTCTAGACATGCAGGTTTGCTGCCAGGGTGGCTCAGTAGCCACCTGAGAAGCCATCAGGAAGTAGTGTAGTAGTTTGAATGTTTGCTGTATCCACTTTAGGATGCAGACACTTGAGACTGAAGGAAATGAGTTCTCCCCTGGGCTAGCTCTTTGGTGGCCAGATTTGGCCTTTTAAAGAAGTTTAATGATAGGATACATTTGTGCAAGTTTTCCTCCAAGCTTTGAGTGTATGTTTCAGGCTTCATTTACTGTGATCATCCTAAAATTTCTGTCCCTATGTCTCTATCTTTTTTATTTCTTTGCTCAAGAAGGTGCTAGAAGTCCATGAATTTAGAGGTAGGTGAAAGGAGAAAAGCTTAAGTTGTTGAAAGTAGGATGCGATAGTGATTCAGATCCCTGTTTCTTGGGTCAGGCCATTGTTTGCTATGGCTTGAGTGGAGTCCTGAGAGGCGTGATGGTTCTCCTCGGGGTCTCTGTTGCTGGACACATGCTGACCTGCCCTTTGATGAAGACAGTCTCACTGCGATAGGACTTAGAATGTGAGCTCTATTTTGCTCTTGGTCCTAGTCTTCAGATCACAGTTCATGTCGTGGATGGCTGTTTTGAGATGGACTGATGAAGACTTGAGATTCTCTAAGAGGGCAAGTGAGGAGATAGTATTCAGAAGGACAACGATTGTTCGGAGAGAAGACAAATTTGAGCTATTAGCAATATCAGTGCTGCATTTGATGCTGTCAAACAATTGACTGGTTCAAAATTAGTATAACATTACTTCTTTGGATTTCATGATAGCTCATTCTGAGGGATGAAAAACAGTCCATTCAGGGGAAAAAACCCCTAAAATCCTTCTTTCCTGGAATTAATACTGACTCAGAAGCTGGCAGACCCAGCTCAAATATAGGATACCCTTGTGTTGTGGGACCCTGAAGATAGTCACACAACTATAAACAGTTGTGCAATATTAATATAATATAATATAGATGTAAAAACTGTAAATAGTCACACAACAATAAATGTATTCTAACTATTGAAATTGAAAATAGGCTGGTTATGCATTTATCTTTTCCTCTTTCTTCTCCTCCTCCTGTTATTTTTACTTCTACTAGTAAAGCCAATGGAAAAGAAGGGTAGTTAAGCATTCATTTTATGCTGATAAATCTCTTCTTTGTTTTAAAACTCAAAATAAAATATCAGTGAAACAAAACAATAAATGCAATAATTCAAATGTCAGACATGCCAGAGTGAAACATATCTCTGGAGACAAGGAGAGAGAGTGGTCAGTGTGATCGTGTAAGAAATCTTTAGCTAAAACAAAGTTTAGTCTCTCTAAGAGCATCAGTGACTTTCTTGTTAGAAATTAACCCATTTTGTATCTCAGGGGAATTGTGTTCATTTGAACTTGTTGATTAGGAAGTGTATTGCGTTAGTGAGTGGTACCAGTTAGTGAAGAGATGAGCAAGTGCCACGAGAAAAACACAAAAGGCCACACTGCAAAACGTATTTTGTTCATTTATTTAATTAAATCAAATCTTTTATTTAGAATGTTTCAGTAGAAATGCCACATAAAATTAGATTTTATTTAAATGAAATATGATAATGAAGCAATATGCTATGGCACTGTCTCTCCTTGTAAATTTGGTGGTGGTGACACTGAGGGATGAAGTGATAAATGAGGTGGTAGGACACCTTTTCAAATGAAGAGAGTGTTAGGAGGGTTGAGGTTTGGGGATTTTTAACAATGGTATCAGATGTGATTTAAAGTCCTTAAAATTCTGCAGTTCCAGTTTTCAAATCACAAGAATAAAAAGTAAAATACCTCTGTAGTCCCTTGTCCCTAGTAGCAAGGCTTTAAATAACTATGCTTCAGATTAAGAAGTCACTGGTGCACTTTAACATTAAGCTAACATGTAAGAAATAAACTGTATTAATTACTGAGTTCATCTGTCTTGAATGCAAGCTGATAGGAATCAGATGTGAAAAAGAAACTGGCATGGTTCATCAGGTCCAGTTTGTGTAGGACATGCTGTACAGTAATTTTTTTATGAGCTTTAGATACTTTAGCTTCTATGTTGTCAAACACTTATCTTTTTTTTTTTCCCTCTCCCTCCCTCCCAAGCCTCTCTCTGTTAGGAGTGCTAGGAAGAGCACAGGACTCCAGAGGGGTATAATCCTCATCACTGAAGGAACAGCACAGGAAATGCATGTAGTGCTAACGGCTGAGAGAAACATGCTTTGTATCAGCAGCAATTAAAACTGGTGGGCAGCATCATTGGAACCATGGGGTGCAGCAGTTCTGTAGCTGACAGAAGGTCAGAGAAAGGTGAGTGCTGCCTTTGTCTTTAGGGCCAGTGGTTGCTCTCTTTGTAACACCAGTCCTATTGTTTAAAAAAACCTGTTCAGAGAAAATTATTTTCTAATTATCTTCTTTTTAAAAGACTGCATAGCTTTTAGATGCTGGCAACATCTAAGGTCAGAAGGCAACTGTAAACCACTTCTAACATCTACAGATTGGATTGGAAAAGATTCACAGTATCTGGGACAGAAGCTAAATTTCTTGTGTCTGTGCTCACTCTGTCACTGGCAAAGCGTATGGGGTAAGGTATTGAGGGAGACCTTTCATGGCCTTTCCCAACACAGAATTCCTGCACAAACTGCTCCAATTTCCCTGCTGCTGAGTGACCCTGACTATGAAACAAGTGTAATAAAGCAGAGCTATTACAATGACTCTCAGAATCAGTTTTCTGCCATACCGAGTGCCTGGCCTGAAATTCTCCCTGACAGTCGCTGGGGCTGTCAGCTGAAAGTCTCCACAGTAACTGATTAAATATTCAATTAAAAAAACTAATGCATCATCCCCTTGCTTTTCATCATACCACACCCTGGTATGAACACACCAGGCTTTGCACAGGCAGGTGGGTTCCAGGATTGGCTCAGACCTTTGTTCAGACCCTTTGTGTTCTCTTTCAAGGTTTGTCATGAAAGCATAATTCACAAGTCTGCCAAGCGCCATGTTATGTAGCTCTGGGCATAGTCTTAGGAGATTATTATGCTGAGTAGCCATGGTTGAAAAGGAAGGCTCTTTTTGGCTACCAAGCCAGGACAGAAGTCACAGGAAACTGGTGGCTAAGAAGCAGGAGCACTTAGTCATGGCTACAGGGATCCAAGCTGGCAGATCTAAGGGTAGCCCTCAGCTTTGCGTACGCTATTTGGCAGTCACAGCAGCATCAGTGCTGTATCACAGCAGGGGAAGCAGAATGGAAACATCTGGAGTCCCAGACCTACCTGTAACTGGGAAGTGGTCCTTCCTCTTTGGGTTTGCATGTTATGCATATATGTGCCTTGCAAGGCCTTGGAGATGAGTTTGGAATATTTCTGAGGGTGCAGAATCTTGGAGTGGGTATGAGAAGCTGTACTGTTTCTCAGTGTACAACCATCAATACACCTTGGTGGGGAGCCAGGCTTTGCTACTCCAAAGCTGGCTTACAGCTTTGTGTGCTTGTTTGACAATGTTTTGTCCTCTCCAGTTGCAGGATGGCAGTCTTTCTGCATTTCAGCAGTAGCCAAATGATGCTGAACTGTCATTCTATCTGCAGCCTGAGGCTGTACATCCCTCTAACGCGTTAATAACATGAATTTAACAGGTACTTGCTGGTGTAGAGACCTTCTGCAACTGATAACAATTCCTTTTACAGACGCAGTTTAGCCTAGCATGAAAATCATGTTCTGATTCAGTCCTGAGAATAACAGTGCTGTAATAAGTACAATTAAAAAAAAAAAAAAAGACAGGAAATATTCTGTTAGATTTGCAACATTAACCGTAGTGGTTGATATGTATTTGCCTTGTGTGATACCAGTGGAACTGTGCCATGTTAAGTGCTCAGGACCATTAAGCAACCCAGGGGGGCTTTAATGGGAAGTTTAATGGTTCTGATGCTGGAAAACAGTTTCTGTGCTGGTGGCAGAGCTTTGCCCCTTAGGTGCTCTTCTCAACAGAAAAGCTGATGACAGCCTTGCTGTGATGTGTCAGGCTTTTGGGTCTGCAGTGGTGGTGCATTCCAGAAAGGAGAGAAAATAAGAGAGATCTCAGAGCTTATATAGGGTACGAAGGACATGCTCAGTCATATAAGAATTACATTTCCTTCAGGCAGGAGGATTTTTCTGTGGTATCTGTAGGATGGGAGGGAGTCTTTACAGATTTTTGCGTTGTCTGGACTAGAAAATTTTACCAATTTAATTATATTGTATTTTACCATGCTTATTAATGGTAAAATAAGCAAACAATGTGTAATTATGACACCTGTAAACATTTTTATGAAAAAGCTTCCATAATGTTACACATTTATTGATAGACTCACTTTTCTGTGAAGGTTTTTCTTTACCCGCATAGCTGTCAGTTAAAAAAAAATCAGTCTTACTCAGGGGGTGTCACTTTTCCTAGTCTCAAAATCCCTGGTATTTTTGATCAGCTAAAATAATTGACTAGTGTAAACCGTTGTCCCTTTAGTACAGAGCTTTTCTTTGCTGTTTTGCAGGGGGTGGGGGGGAGGGGGTGGGGCGGAGAAGAGGGAAGCATTAGTACAGATTATTGGTTGTTATTTCTTGTTTTGTTTTGGTTTTCAATATCAACTGTTCATTTTGGCAACTGTAAGAAAATATAAGCATATTCGTGTTAAGACATTAGTGTTGGTTTTAGTTTCCTCTTTTTTTCTTTTTCATGAATTTGCAGTGCTGTGCAGTGGTGATTGTGTCAAACTCTGGAATTCAAGAGAACATTTCAGTTTTGTTTCCATGCTCCTGATCATCTGTTCATCTGCTCAGATATGAGCTCTAGTTCTTGGGAGTGTCAGGAGATGAGATTGATGTATTCCTTTGGTCCTTGTGCCTTCGATAGAGTTGCCCTGCAGCTGCTTTGACTTGTTCCCCCAAGATCAGAAGCATAAAGACTTTTTCTTCAGTGTCCTATGCAGAGCTATTCAGGGTTGAGTTCCTTTGGAAACTCCTTGAAGTGAGGCATTAGCTGCAGGGCTGGAGGCAAAGACTTGACATTTCTGGCCCTGTCTACTTATTTACTGGTATCGAGAGTACAGGGAAAAAGAGGTAGGGAAAAAGAGGCAAGGAACCAGTCAAGAAAGAATTATGTTCAACTTTAAGTGAATAAGTGTGACATCTCCGAGAGCAGCCTCCTACCTTACTCTGGTTTTTGTTGCCAGGCAAGAATATGGTGGGGCGATGTGGTTGCACTGGGACAGGTGCAGGTTCCAATACCCCTGTCTTCCTCTCACTGTTACACAGTGATGCGTGTAATGCCTCTTGACTGCTCCTGTTAGTGCTCTGTAGGGCCAAGCATGTTAATACAGCGTCCCCTTCTGACTATAATTTGAGCAAAAGACTAGGTTCAAATTTGCCATTATTTCAGCTGCTAGATCTTCAAGACAGTAGCTGCATTTGGTTCTGGTTTTGTATAGCAAATGGTGTCCTCTTCTGGATGATAAATCATACTTACATATGTCCTTAGATATGAAACGTGCATTTATTCCTCTCTAGCTGATCTTAAAAAAACAGTTAACAAGTGACAGAGGAATGCTTTTCTCAAAGTTGGTTGATCTTTCTGGGTAAGCATCCTTAAAGCGCTAGAAAGTCAGAGCTCTGTGAAACAGCTGAAGTTAATGCTGAGCTCATCTGTTCCTCCTTTGGTAGGCAAAACTGCTCTTCCTTACCTTTCCCAAACCCACATACTGCCCATCAGCGGAACACGGCTGACTTCTTACATGGGTATTGTCTTCAGGACAATGAAATGGGGAAGGTTTCTAATAACATAGGCCTGAGCAAGTCAGCTAGTTTGGGATCTGTCCCCAAGACAGAAACAGTAAATGCATCATGTATTCATTATCAGAAAACACTTTTTAAGTCTCACTTTTACAGAGCTTCATCTTAATATCGACAATGGGCTGAATTTGTCATCTGTCTGCAAAATTCTGCAAAGGTAGCATGTGTGTTTTCATTGCAGATTACACTGCATCCATGTGTAATCCATTGCTTTCTGTTTTGACAGTCATTAGAGCTGCTATCCTTATCCAGAATTGGTACCGCTTTACGATGGCCCGGCTAGAGATGAGGCGCCGCTATTCTCTGAGCATCTTTCAGTCAATTGAATATGCTGATGAGCAAGATCAACTACAGGTTGGTAATCTTCAATTCTTCCTGTACAACAGTTGTGTTATTCCCAGAGGACTGAAGTTGCACAGACAAAATGAGTATGTGTTTATTTCTACCTACAAAGCTATGTCCTATATAGCAAAACTGCTTCCCCGCCTCACACATAAACTAATGAAGTTGTGTATATACATATATATAAAACTATGTAAGCAGCAGGACACTGTTCTGCCTGTACAATCATATCTAGGTTAGAGGGTGCTGTAGAACAGCTCTGTTCCCCGAGGATTGCAGATCATCCCACTATGGGTGATCTTAACCATGTTCGTGAGGCAAGATACGTGCAACAGAGATAGCAATGTCTCAGTATGTCAGCCCAGGGTTCCTTTAGGGTCAATACAAGGAATCAGGAACTTCTAGGGCTTTGTGTTCATCCTAGCACCGGTGTCTACAGTCAGTTTGGTGTATCGTAGCAGTTTCTTTCTATTGACTACAAAAGAAGTTTGGATGATGGGCAAGATGAATTACACCCAAAAACGTCAGCAGCATTGATATAGAACTGGAACTTTGTATGTATTCATATAGTGTCAATCTGCTAATTCGTAGCAAAGAGGGAAAGGAGTAAGCCATTTTTGTAGTAGGACACAAGTTGTGTCATTATTGTAGGCCGATGCTATGGGAACATGCAGTAGTGCCTTAGAGCCCCCTAAATGGGAAATTGCTAATTACTGAGTAAGGAAAGAGAATGTTAATGCTTGTTGGATCCCCTGAAATGATCAGTGCGTATTTGTTCTTTTCTTTTCCGTATTCAGCTATCCAACTTTTTTACATTCATGCTGGATCACTGTACTCATCCTGATTCGGGTAAGGATAAAAAATCAAAGTAATATGGAGATTTCATTTGAATAACTTGATGTGAGGAAAGTTAGTTTTCAATGTGATATTTACAGCCTATGGCATGTGCAGGGTCTGAGGTTTGATTTCCCAAATACTGTAATAAGAATTTGATCCTGTTAGTGTTGACTGATCAATACCTACGCACTGAGTCAGAACGTAAGACAGGACAGATACCTGTTGTCCTTGTAGGAATACTCAGAGGTGCTCAGAGTGCTTTCTTATGCATTACTGCCCTTAAGCTGTTCTCACTGCAGTCTTACTGACTCCAATTTTCACAGCTTTCTATGCATGTTTTCTTAAACTCTGAGATGTGATTATCCAGAAGGAATGTGTCTAGTTGGTTTAGGGCAGGTGGGATCAAAGAAGTTGCATTCAAAAAGGTTGCTCTTCTTCTTTTTCTCTCCCCCATCCCCAAAGCAGTTCTGGACCACTTTTTAATATTCTTTGTTCTAGATTTCACTGCAACACATGTATCAGTATGTGAATGATTAAAAATTAAATACATTTAAACTGCTGAAGATAAACCTTCAGAAACAATCTCAATTAAAGCTCAGTTATTCAAATAATAACCTTTAATTTTTAAAATATTTTGGGATCCTTGGACAAAACTTACTTTTGAGGTCAAGCTCAACAGAAGGACAGATTTAAAGTGACTTCCTAAATCCAGAAAACACACGACTTCCCTGAACAAATTGAACAAATTGAGAATGGATCTAATCCCAGTGGAGTTAAAAAGGAGGCTGTCCTCTTCTTATTGCATTAGAAGAGAATGTCCTTTCTCTTTCATCTGATCCAGCCACAGGTTATTCCAATTAAAATTTGCACAAGACACTTTGATAACAGGATAAAACCACCATCAAAGCCATAAATGGTTTAGTGTTCTAATGACAACCATTAGAAATGGCATTTTTTCTCTCCTAAATACTTTAGAAGGCCTAATGCTTTCTGTGCTCTGCAGAAAAGGAAATTATGTTTGAACTTTGCTCCAAAGCCAAGGCAGATGATACAATAGTACTTCCTTTGATTTTTTTCCATTACCACTGTATTCTGAAAAAAAATGTGCTTTAGTCATGTAACTTCTTGGGAAGGAATTGGCAAACTCAAAGAAAATTAGACACTGCTCACTTCATCTACTTCTGCATGCTGATAGTGCACTGCAGTTCAGCTTTTCCACCTGAGTGGGAAAGAAAATAGTAGGGCTAGGTCTGAGATTTGGAAAAATAGTATTAATCTCTATTTTCATTATAATATTAAAAGAGAGATTTACAGCTGCTCATTGTAGATACGATTTGTCTACCTTTGTTAACTAAGTCTGTTGATAGAAGGAACAAAGATGAGTGAGGTGCCTCGGGTGACTTGCTAGGGGTCAGGACGTGGCTGGCTACAGGGCACACTGCTACATGCATAGACTGTTCATGGGTAGGTGGAGATGCAGGCCCACCTGTGCACAGGGAGGGACGGAGGGAGGGTCCTGTGGGCTGTTCCTCATCACCACAGTACGGGTGACCTGATTCATAGTCTTGCAGATATTGGGAATTGTAGATGTGATTAAGGCTGAAACACACAATAAAGTGTTATGTTTATGGTAAAACTCCCCTTTGTCTTGCTTCTTAAAACTTACATCTTTTAGGACTGACGTTTTTAAGGCTTGATAACTGCTGCAAAGCCTTTATTTTTGCCTTGATTTGTTATTTCACCCTTTCTAACACCCTGTGTTACAGATACCAGAACCCAAAAAGAAACAGAAAGATTCCATAAGATATGTGTTTAATAGAGAGGTGGCCCAGGCCACCTATACGAAGGAATTGACTTAGGGTTTTTTTGAGAAATTGCATATCAAATTTGTCTTGTGTGGCTTGTGGTTATGTTGCTATGTGCATTCTTTACTTCAAGCTCTTGTTTACTTGCCCCTCTAATTGACCTTTGTGGCACCCATGCTACATCCACTGATTTAAGCAAAATCAGTGCTGAATAGAGGGATTCTTAATGAACTGCTTCCATTTCTGCCGAATCATGGTCCCAAGATGTGAGACACAGTGAGTCTAAACATAATAAGCAGAGAGGCTTCAAATTGGCTTTGCTATTCCCAAGCATTTTCTAAACCCCACGATTCTCTGGCTTTTTTTCATCAGTGTATGATCACTTAAATTAGAGTGATAGCATATGGTTCAAAAGCCCTCTCCAAGAAGAGAGTATATAATATTCTTGCCAGAGAATAGGTTGCCTGTTCTTCTCAGTATGTGATGAGAAAGCTACCTGAGGATTTTGTGATCTGTATTTTTCCTTATGTTATAAACCACGGAGTCTCCGTTATTTCTCTTCTCACTTTCCTCTTTTTAATCTGCTGTTTCCCAAAGAAAGAAAGCAGCCACCATCTCATTAACACAGTGGTGCTTTCGGTGTGATTGTTTATCTGTTGTACTCTGAAGCTTTTGTCATCCTCTCATCCTGCTTAAGATGTCAGTGCAGTTTAAATTGTGGTTGGAATATTATATAGCTGTGTGTCTTGTTCTGCTTCTAATCAGAGGCTATTTTCCAAGGATTTGTGGGAGGTAAAAATTAAAATCTTTTCCACCATACACTTTTCACCTTCCCTCCCTCCAAAGTCTGCATACATACTCAGCTTTTCAATGGAAAGATTTCTGGTCAGAGAAAGCTAGAAGCTGCTTTTCCAGCAAAAGGTGACCCATTTACTCACTCTTTTGTGGACGCATTGAAGGTGAGAAGGCTGCAGACAAGTCCTAGGCAAAGTGGTGGGACTGGGAGTCCAAGTTCCCCCTGGCTGTGCCTCTCAAGGTCACCAAGGCAGGAGTCACACCTCCTGGAGCCTTCCTTGAAAAGAGAACCAAAAAAAAGTGTGGTTTCCTGCAGTTTCACTGCCCCTGATGCCTCCCTTACAGCACTAATGCCCTTCCAAGACTTTTTGCATAGAGTGATTCTTGGAGTGGGACACAAATCACAGCTGCTTGCAGCTTACAGCACCAAGAACAGAGTGAAAAAATAAATGTTTGGAGTGTTATAGAAATCTTCATACTCTGAGTGGGCTCAAGATCCATCTGGCTTTGACTTGATGGCCTGGGGTCAGTGTCTGGCAGATGAAAGAGCACTCCTCAGGAGTCAGAGATGTTTTCAGATTCCCCAGTGGTTACTCTGAAGGTGCACGGATGGTGGCAGAACAGAGAGCTTATTTCAGAGCTGCAGAAGTAGCTGGTTCCATCACGCTGATAGCAAGTACATCCTTGGCAGCGGCATCTTTAACAGATACTGGCAGAGGGTATTTCCTTCTGTCCTAAGATGGGTGTCTGAACTAGGCACATTGAGAGATTTCATCCCTGTCTTTCAATATCGACTGAAAGAACATTGACTGCTTCAACTAGAAGATGACTAAAATAAGAAGGGCGCCGAATCCTTCAGAATTAGTCCTGCAAGGGTCTTGTGGTGAGCTGGGACACTCATCAGCCAGCGTGCTAATCCCCAGGCTGCATTAGGGCATCCATTACTAACTTCTCTGACAGCTGAAAGACTGCCTGAGGAGACACAAGCACACTCTAAGGCTAATGACCATGGCCAGCTTTTGATGACTCATCCAGAAGTGGAAAATGGAGTGTACTTTGCAGAGATATGCCCTACAGGGAAGGAGATTGGGTTTCTCTACCTGGGCATAGGCCAAAAAGGAAGCAAGCCTGTGAGGAAGGTAGGTTCATGTTCAGAGGTAAAGGGAAGGGTAGCCTGCTGTGTGCAGGAAGGGAGGGCTGCAGTAGGAGCAGGGATGGCCACGTGTCTGCCTGGCTTAAAATGCCGAGAAGACGGCTGACTCTGAAGGAGTCACAGAATCACAGAATCACAGAATGTTAGGGATTGGAAGGGACCTCAAAAGATTATCTAGTCCAATCCCTCTGCTGGAGCAGGACCACCTAGATCAGATCACACAAGAACGCATCCAGGCGGGTTTTGAACATCTCCAGAGAAGGAGACTCCACAACCTCTCTGGGAAGCCTGTTCCAGTGTTCTGTTATCCTTACTGGGAAGAAGTTCTTCCTCATGTTTAAGCGGAACCTCCTATGTTCCAGCTTATATCCATTTCCCCTTGTCCTGTCATTGGATGCCACTGAGAAGAGCCTGGCTCCATCCTCATGACAGTCACCCTTTACATATTTATAAACATTAATGAGGTCCCCCCTCAGTCTCTTCTTCTCCAAGCTAAAGAGACCCAGCTCCCTCAGCCTTTCCTCATAAAGGAGATGCTCCACACCCTTAATCATCTTTGTGGCCCTGTGCTGGGCTCTCTCAAGCAGTTCCTTGTCCTTCTTGAACTGAGGGGCCCAGAACTGGACACAATATTCCGGATGCGGCCTCACCAGGGCAGAGTAGAGGAGGAGGAGAACCTCTCTTGACCTACTAACCGCACCCCTTCTAATACACCCCAGGATGCCATTGGCCTTCTTGGCCACAAGGGCACATTGCTGGCTCATGGTCATCCTGCTGTCCACCAGGACTCCCAGGTCCCTTTCCCCTGTGCTGTTCCCCAACAGTTCAGTCCCCAGCTGGTACTGGTACATGGGGTTGTTCTTACCCAAATGCAAGACTCTACACTTGCCCTTGTATTTCATAAATTTCTCCCCGCCCAAATCTCCAGCCTGTCCAGGTCTCTCTGAATGGCAGCACAGCCTTCAGGAGACCCTCTGGCCAGAACCGGCAAGCAATGAGGAATTTAGGTGGTCTGAGGAACTGGCTCCGTGACATGCAGCCACCCACTTCCTGAGAGGTGGGGCATAGAGGGAGATGCTGTACAGAGACCTGTTGCTAGAGCTGGGATGAGACTTGGTGCAGATGTTCTGGGCTGATCAGTATGTGGGAACCAGCAGTTTCAGTCCATGGGTGATGTTCTGGCGTCCAGCCAGACAAAGCTGTAACTGTGGTGGAAGACTGCAAATCAGACTGCACTTGGTGGAAATGGTGAACTCTGAGCACCTTGCTGTTACTTGATGCCTTAATCCATTTACATGGCTGTACACTGAATGTGCTAATCAGCTCGCAGAGAAGAACTGATAAAAAAAGGAGGGTTTGTAATCCAGAGCTCATAAAGGGTGTATTTTTATTTACTTATTTCTTTAATATGGATTTTATCCAGATATGAATCGCATAATTTATGAGGCCACATGCTGATTTTGGCTGCTGTGAGTTTTGAGTCACAGGCATGGGTATTCCTCCAGCAATAAATAATACATTTTTATTTCCAGTTGCATCTAATCAAGGTTACAGAAAACTTACCTGTAGCCCAGAAAAAAGTGTTTACAACAATCATCTCACAAGAGCAACTCTGCAACAGCAGCTGCCAGAACACTGTCCTCTAGGGTCTGGTTCTCTCTTTTAGTATATTATATGATGAAGACAATCTGCAAGAAGAAAACGTGTAAACCTAGTGTTCAGTCAGTTACATTTCAAAGGTATGTCAAGAAAATATTGGATTGAAGCAATTAGCAATGTTCTTGCTTTCTCTGTGTACCAGGAAAATTAGAAGCTATGCTCTATTTTTACTGCTGTGTTTTTCTTTATTTCATCCAGTGGTTTTATGGCAGCCAACCAAAAGCTGACATTGTCTCCTAGTTGTATCAAAAAGGAGTGCTTTGCAATCCACAGTGAATAAATAGGATTTTGTTGATGACTTTTTAAATAATCACTGACCTGCTGGCATTTAGCCTAAAAATTTCACATAGAAAATAAAAGCAATAAAAGTGAATCTGTAAAACCTGCATTAAAAGTGTAATATTGGACTTCAAACAGATGATGATCATTGAATGATCAGTCATGACTTTTAATCTTCTTGCTTTGTGGGGGAAAGAGAAGAAGGTGTGTAACAGGTTATGTTTCTCATTACCTGTGAGAGCAGATTGCTCCACAACTTCAGTGCATCCTCACCACAGTTACTGGCTGTTGGGACAGGGGTTTTGCCTGTTTTTTAATTTGGTTGGGGTTTGCTTGTTGGGTTTTTTTTGTTTGTTTGTTTCGTTTTAGTACTGTGAAACAATGTGGGGAGACCTGAAGCTCTTCCACTATACAAGGCAGGAGTTAGCCACTGTAATCCTGCAACGAGTAGAGCATCAGTTACATTCAACTGTTTCTGGTCATGCTGTTGTGGCCCTATGGGGGACTGATGGAGTTTTTACACTGTTGGTTTTCTTCCCTCTTGTTCCAGTTTCTCACATTTTCACCAGCCCTGGTGTTTCTCAGGTGGTGGATGAAGGCGTATGTTTAACAGAATTTGAGAAGAAGATTGATGTTCCAGACTCCTATTATGGACCACGACTCTCATTCCCCCTTACTGTTGAAGATGCCAATGCTCTTCTTCATGCTTTCAGGAATGAACAGGTAGGTTGCAACTAGTTTGATTTCTGTTTACTTATTTTACATCTCTGTCAAGTTGCAGCTCCGCAATCAGTTGAATCCAGTGTAAGGCTAAACTGGTGCCCGAGGAGATATTTCTCCCTTCTTTTTCAACTCATTACCCTTTCCTGCTAGCCCTGTGTGATCATACAGGTGCATGGTGAGCTGTCTTGGGAAACTGATCTGGCTGGAAGCTAACACAACAAAATCCAAAGCAGTCAGTTCTCAGCCAGACTAGTTTCCAGGTTTAATTCACTACTTGGCTGCATGACCACTAGACACAGCACTAGGGAGAGAGCAGGGACTAGTGGGGACCTCTTCTAACATTGAGATTACCGTGATCATGAAATGGGAACTGTTAGCAGCTGCAAGGCAGGGATTATCAGTGAGGGTGCAGGACTGGGGAATGTGTCGTAAACTAACCTAGAAACTAATTATCATCTTTTTCTGGTTTAAAAGTGCTCCTTGTGTGGTCCTCTTTTTTTTTTTTTCTTTTCTTCCCCCTTCACTCCATAGTTTTTAGAGGAATTGAGGTGCAAGGGTTAATCCCCTCTTTCCAATATGCAACACTCCACCATAACAGACGAGTGAATACAGAGCATTGCTAATGTGGCAGAAGGGGCGATAGCACAAGTCTCAGGAGGTTGCTGCCTGCGGCTGCCAAGGCGCTGAGAAACTGTTGCTGATTCTCTGTCTGTGTTCTTGAGCAAGCCCCTTTGCTGCCATCTTGCAAGATGAGGGTGGGGCAGGGAGGCACTACGCGGCCCGGCTTTGTTTGAACTTGTGATCATTTGTGCTTAACAATATGCTGTATATAAAGGATAAGGGTCTAGCTTGCTTTTCAATTTACTAAATAACAATTTTTTTTTTCTGTAGTTTTCTGTGGAGGCTAATCTTAAAAGTAGCAAAATGTAAAGCACATGATAAATAAGCCCACTCAGACTGACCTTACTGTCAGCTCTCTTCTCTTACTATGGTTTTATTAAGGAAATGATTATGTGTAATTGGCCTTTTTTGTTTGCTTTAAAAACATGAATCTTGAAAAGTCAGTCTGTAGCTCATCTATCTTTTCTACTAAACTTCCTCAGAGTTGTGTTTGATTTAAAAGCCTTAAAAATCACTCACTGACAAAATTATCATAAAAAACATTAGCAGAGAAGACCAGAAGCTTCAATGTTGCGTTCTCGTAACATCTTCACAGTGAACAGAAAGGTAACTCTTAACAAGGCATCCCTTGCTGGAGTTTCCCTCTCATTATTTTTGCGATTTGCTGAAATATCATTTATGGCCTTTGGGGTTTTTTTGGTTGGTTTGTGGTTATTAGTTTTTTTTTTACTCACAGCTAGAACTACATCCTTTTTTTTTCCCCAGTTACTTTGAACAGGTGACCTTATGCAATGATTCTGAGTGCTGTATTGCTCAGTCTCTTAGCCTTTCTGCAGAAAGTAGTACACTGTTTCTGTAGAAACAGTACACTAGAAATCAAATGGGAAAATATGTAAAGCAAGTTCATTAAGGGCTCTATGTCCATTCACCAGGAAGCAAGTGCAAAGCTATGAGCACTCCTAATTTCCAACACTGAACCATACAGCCTGTAATCATGTCTGGAAGTCTGTAGTATAAATAATCCTGAACCATACAGCCTGTAATCATGTCTGGAAGTCTGTAGTATAAATAATCTTGGTAATACATGTCTGATATTAATAAAGCAGACAGACATACTGCTACTTCTAATAAGTCTCCCTTTTCTCCCTGCATTTTTTTCTCACAGGTGCTTCATGCCCGCTATGTATTGCAGCTACTATGTGAAACCAGGAAGGTTCTCAAAGAGATGCCAAATATCACTCACCTTTCAACTTCCTACTCCAAGGAGATAACTGTCTGTGGTAAGGTGCTGGAGAAGGTAACCACTTTGGGCTACAGGTTGATATTCTAAGTGGTTAGAGAATGATACCAACATTTCTGAATGTTGCCATTGCAAGAAAGTTCTCGATGCTTTTTTTTTCTCCTTCTTCTTTTTCCCCCAAATACATAAATTGAAACAAACAAAAAAATATAAGGTTCCTGAGTCACACTAAGTATATTTTAAGAAAGTCCCTCACCTCCTCTTCCCTTTTCTCATTAAACATTTCTGAATGAGTCAGTATTAATTCAGCTAACACTGCAGTGTAGCTTAAATATTCCTGCACTTCCGTCTCTAAAATGCCACCGAGTATTTTGATCGTGAGCTGCAAGTCTCACCGCTTTCTCCTCTTACTGAGAAAAAGACTTTGCCATCATAATTTACTCAGTAATGATTTTAATGAGGGCTTAATAGGGGTGGCAAGCAAGACCTTTCATTGTATGCTGTGCAGCACACATTGACAGCATGACTATCTAGAATAAATTGAAATTATAATAAAACCTCGTTTCTAAAGAGACCCAAGAGGATGGATCAGTCTTTATACAACCAACAAATTAGTCTCACAGACGGAGGTGATGTGTCAGAAGGTAAAGAACTAAGAGCTCGTTGCCCGTCTATTTTGTTGTGCTTTTGTAAATTATGGATAAAGGGATGCAGTATCCTGACTTGCCACAGAACGCAGCAGCTGCAAAACAGAACAGTAATGGTGACATTAACTCTTGACAGCTGGCAGTGTGTGCTGTTTGTAATAGTAAAGTGGTATGAGGGAGAGTACTATAACGCATGCAAAACAAATAATGTTTTTTAAGATGTGGTTATGCACCTACTTTGACTGCCAGGAAAGGGTTTGTTTAAATGAGGTTTTGTATAACCAAGAATTTATTAATCAAACCAACAAAACCTCTCTCCAAACCAAGAAAGCATGGATTCATACTTGTTTGCTACACAGCATGTTCTTACTAAGCAAAACTTACCTCCTCACATTTGTATTGCATTTGCAGTATGTAAGCAATATCTAAAGGGTTCCCCTTCATGCCATTGAAACTAATAGCTTTTGTAACCAGCAGGATCCTCTGCAGAAGATGAAAGACCAAGTTTTAGACATAATTGGTCCAAAATGTTGATCTCCTTAAAATAAGGTGTTCCTTTCCCCATTTTATTTTAATTTCAAATTAGTAATGCAGATTAAATATGCACCTGAAATGTTTGCATCCACATATGTGATGAAAATCTATCAT